TTAACCAACATGAAATGGCAAACGGAGTCTGTTCAAAATCGGGCTTTGTGGGCCCATCCGCTGGTGACGGCTATGGCTTGCAAAAACTAAACATCTTCTGACAAGGGTTCAAGATCCAAAATACGTATCAAGCGAATAGAAGTGGGGCGCGTGTTTTCTCAGGGAACATTGTCAGAGGTCTCCCAGCGTTCATCTAAGAGTAGGCAAAAAAGAGTCTACAACCTCCGGAAATGACACTTCTCGAGCACAGTAGAATGAAAAACCATACGACTCTCCAATTCCCATTGTTTTTTCAATTTGTTTCATTGTTCGCCGTTGACATGTGACATGTGATGCCAGGGTCTTCAGTCGAGAGACGAAGCTCCTGACAAGACCGTGTACAAACTGAACGCCGTGTCCTGAGGGTTTTGGGAGGCATGTAGGACGATTAGTTTTCCAGTTTTTTGCGGCACTACACTGGCAGAGGCTGATGTACGGGCTTTTGAGAAAGCAGTGAAGAACAACGACAAGCCTGCAGCACTTGAGGCTTGTTGGAAATCCAGTCCATCCATGCAGCTGTGGCGCGTTTTGCTAGTAGCAGGCGTTTCAGAAGTACCAGAACGACATGCCACAAGGCGCTCGGATAGCATGTGTTGCAGCAGGGTGGCGGCTTTGTGATACGCTTGAGGAATGGCTCGTTTCGACATCCACAACCCGATCACCTACGAGGGACCCTCCCCGTACTGTCTTCAGTTGCTGCAAGTGCGCCATGTGAGTCCCTTCAGTCGTCTGCTCTTTGTGATCTGCCTGTGCTCTCAGGGAGACCGGTGCACGAAAGACCATGTAGCTCCGACCTCAATACCACAGATGCAAAGGCTGATGTAGTCATGCCATCTACAGCTTTAGGATTGTTGATAGAGTCATCGGTTCCAGCCTGTGGTCTTGAAATTTTCTGCGCAGTTTGAGCGCATGTTTCATATCGATCTGCAAGGTAGGCCGAGCTGCAAATGATGTCCGTGCATGCATTACCTGCATTGCATAGTCCCGATGTGGTCATCTTCACTGAAGGACCAGCCTCCGCAGTTTCGTTTCTGCGCAAGCTCCCAACAGTAGCAGCCAAGCCGTGGCGGAACGATGGTGGTGGAGACGGCTGCAAAGCCACCCGGGAAGGCCGTCAAGCCAGGCAGGAATGAAAGGTGGTGGATCGTGTGACACATCCTGCGTTCGCGCAATTTTCATGCTGAACTGCATTGCCAGATGACCCAACCGTGGTCATTTCCAAGATGTTGTCGTGGCTTTTGCGTCATGGCATCAAGCACAAAAGCGCGGCTTGCCTGCAGAAAGGAGAGGGAGAAACATGGAGGCATCGAAGAGCGACACAGTCCAGAGCGGAGAACTCTCTCAGTCCGTTCTTCTCGAGGTCGGTCTGAATTCGGAAAGTGCCGATGGCTGGGTCAAGGTGACGGAGGTTCTCACATCGGAATATTTTAAAGAAATCACAAAAGAGATCCTGATGAAGGCGGGGTCTGAGCAGTTACGTCCCTGTCACGTGTCCGGTTGTACATGGTGCAGGTGATTGTCGATTCCAACGCGCAGAAGCTTCGTCTTTGACCAAGTCTCGCGACTTCTTGTCGTGGCATGCGTCAGATTGCGTGGCCCAGGCTACCAGCTCTCTCCGGACTGTGTCTACATAAGAGCATACAGCAGAGATGAGAAAAAGGCCCTCTGTTCAACGGTTCAGAGCCACAGGCGGTGTTTTATGATTCTGTTGAGGCTTTCAAGGAAGGCGCCGCAAGCACAACTGCATCAGTCTCGGTGCCCGCTCCTCCAGAAAAGAAAGGCAAGAGCTGGCGGTGCCATCGTGCCAGCGAAGTTCGCCTCTCGAAATGTAGAATTGGAGAGCAGGGCGCTTGCCGGCAGGGACACTACGTGGAGAAGCCCCAGAATTCGTGCCTTCGACAAGCCCTATGCTTTCTTCCATGCAAACATCAGGACGGCATGATGTGCAGTTGCAGCGCCGTGCTTTTATTCATGATGCGTCAGATCCAGGATACCCTCCATGGCCGCTTCTGTATCCCCAGCCGACGATGATGTCTGCAGCTCGGGAGTGCACCAAAAATGTCGGAGACTGGAAGACTGAGGCCGTACGTGCCCGTCCAGGTCCAGCGCAAGGGCACCGGGGAAAAAGGTCAGCCTTCTGCATAATGAGAGAATACATGTGTAACTCATGTGTGCATGTCGTTGTTGCACTGCGGGCCTTGCTTTCAGTGAAGGTGGCGGAATATTTCGTGCCCCATCTGCAAATTGATGTACGTCTAATTTCAAGTGGAGGAAAAGAATGCAGAGCATTGCTTAGGTGAGTTGGGAAGAATAAAGTCTTTCTACGACGACAAAGGCCGGATAAGGAGATAAACTCTCAATTTGAGAGGCGTTGCTGCTCGAGGCTACGGTTTCATTGAATGTCCCAGAGTCACGCAGCAGTTTGGCCGCGACCTCTTCGTGCACAAGGCGAGTGTGCTACAGCTCTGAGAGCATCGCAATGGCAGCCGATGCAGGCACAGCTGAATGGTTTCAAAGTGGGTGACGAGGCCGGTGCCGACACGACAAGTTCGCGGTTTCCCACGATACATGTGGCCAAAGCAACGTCTTTGCAGGTTACTGTCACCGTGACGGTGAATGAGGCCCCTCACGCAGGGATTCGGATTTCGCCACGGTGAAAACAGCAGGTTTGTCTTGGGTCGAGTTGGCAATTTTTTTCTGGTTTTCGTTGTCGTTTCGTCCTTGCGTCGTGGACTGCCACTCTCGGTCAAAAGCCTTGCCGCAGGCTGGATGGCCTCAGGCGCAGGACTTGCAATCTGCAACAGGTGCGTGCCGTGAAGTACATCTTCGACTTTCATAGCGGGAGGCTCGTAGTCTGAGGTCAGCCGGCAAGTGCATCCACAAAGGGGAAAGGCAAGGGCAAGGACAATACCAGCGGCAGTTTGACATTCTCCGTGTCGGACGCGTCGATTTCATGTGTTTGAGGACATAGGTCACTCTAAATGACACTCACACTCAGCCTCACACTGACTTTAATGGGTTAGCTCAGTTGAGTTGCCGGGCAGCTGAGCATTTCATTGTTGAGGACACAGGTAAAGAAAAAGGAAAAGACAAAGGCGAAGGAAAAGGGAAGGACGGCAAGGATGTCAAGGAAGGCAAGGGTAAGGACGGCAAGGGTAAGGACGGCAAGGGCAAGGAGGGCAAGTCTAAGAATGGTAAAGGAAAGGATGGCAAAGGCAAGAGCAAGGACCATCTGATCAACCAGTGCGTGCCGCTGCATGTCAGTGCATCTGAAGGTTCTCGACTGAAGCAGGTTCGCGTTTGTGAGCCTGTCCGAGTGTTTTATCGCGAGCTGCTTGCACAGGACAGAAAGAAAAAAGAAGATAACCAAGCAGAAGCAGTTCAAGAAGAGGCCTTTGGATGGATCCTGTTGCACGGCTGCTGTCTGCAGAGAGGTCGTCGGGCAAGGGCTCAGTTGCTTTATTGGAAAGATCACCTGAGCCGATTTGGGACAGGGTTTTTGGAACGCCTTGACAAGCCCTGTTCCAAACCCTGTCCCATGTTTCAACGAGAGCATACTACCTCCAATCGGCGCCGACGCCTGCCAACCTGAGTTGTTGCAGGAGCGGTAGCTGTCCGCACAGCAGTGATGCTTGCTCATGCTTGCCCATGTCCATAGCAACTTTTTGCCAGAGAAGTGCCAGAGAAGACAATCAGAGTAGTTCCAATGTCACATCTACAGGCGACTGCTTTTTGTCTCACGAGAGATTTTTGCAGTCTTTCTGGTAGCACGATGGCCAGAGCATAACATCCAGGCACCTGGTCTGTTTCACCCCGACGGGAGACTTGGAACTATTTGAAGTGTGAAGTCTTTGATCGCCCCAGAGAATGTGGCGACACCACTTGCGATTTGCCAACATAGGCAGTCGCTTTGCCACCTAGCCCACTGCGGCCATGTGCTCTAGGGGTGTGGGATTGGATGCAAAGGCTTCACAGGCTTCGCAGCAAGTATTTCTACAGAGAACATGGCCCGTCATTGGTGGAGTGTTCATCGGTTATCATCGATTCATGGAAGCAGCTGCGAGCTTCCCATCATAGACCAGCACTAGCAAAGATGCGGATGGCCTACACGCCTCAGCGCAGAGTCCGCTGCTGCTTCACCAGGCAAGTCTTCAGCAAGGAGCGCCCCCCCAAGCCGAAGCCGGATCAAAGTTGCTTTAGATTGCATCTGGGAGTAAGGCAAACAGAAAGTAGCGGTCGTCAGAGCTATGGATGTGGGAATAATTACAGATGTACCCGGCAGCGCCAGCAAACCATAGCCTTCGAGCCTAGATGCTTCCTGCCATCGCATAAATCGTCTCTGCGGCAGACGACCACGGCTCAGCTGTCGAGCGAACGACTGCATATTTTAAATTCGAGGGGCGCGTCCTAGTCCAGCTCTTGAAAAGCCATTTTCTTTGGTGAACAAAAAAGCACGAGCATCAATCTATCAGGAAGGCCTCACCGCAATCACAATTTCTGACTACCAGCATTCTCTTGCGCATTTTGATCACGTGCAGCTGCTTGTCTGTGTTTGAAGTATGGCTGGCAGCGCTTGATTCGACAAGTAGTGCGAATGGAAAAGGCTGCAACACGGATGCTTCGGCGCTTGATCTACAATACAATGCTGACTGACTTGTAGGATTTGTGCCTGGACGCTGCACTGCTGACCGTTCGTCGCGACTGACTCCACGGCATCAATGTCGAACTTGCGTTGATTTTCTGCCCAAGCCAAGTCTTCCCACATCGGCCATGGGCCATGAATGCGTTATATGCGTGCCTTGCACGTGTCCGCGGTGGACGGAGCATGGAGCTTTGCCTTCCCATGAAGAGGTATATAGATTGATCTTGCTTGGGAGTCCGGCGGTTTCCAGACGGTGTGGCGGCGGTGAACACATGCCGTCAAATGGAATTGTTTCAGATGTCATTTCTGTCCTGGGTTTATGTGTTTGGTCAAATTCAAAGACGCGCGCCTGGCTGCAAGAATTAGTAAGTTGGTGCGGCAGACAAGTTGGGAAGAAGGTCTTTCACTAGCACTTGGCCGACTGAAGTATCATGAGGCCGCTGGAATGCCCGCGCCCGTGCCCAACGACCCGAGACTGTCTCCTCGACTTTTGGTCATGTCATCCGGCATCAGTGCCCTTTCTCAGGCATCGGCCTGGACGAAAGCATTGAGCCTGCTCTCTGCGTCCAGAAAGTATCAGGTGCTTCCAGATGTCGTTCTTTACAATGCGACAGCCGCGGCATGCGATCGCGCATCTCATTGGCAGTGGTCGCTTCAACTTTTCGATCGCATGCATGGAGGCAGACTCCATACCGACTCAACGAGCCTTAATGTGCTGATCAGCGCGTGTGGCCGCGCATCTCGGTGGGAGCTGGCGCTGGCCTTTACAGTTGGTGCTTGCAAGTTACAAGGGCAACCCCAGCTAGATGCGCTTGGCGAAGCCAAAGGGGTCGGAGCAGCCATTGACGCGTTAGGTCGAGCTGGGCAGTGGCGCATTGCTCTGTCCCTGTTGGACGAAGTGCGAACCAGAAGCGTAGCGAGCATAGGATGTTTCAATGCCGCCATTGCAGCAGCCGCTCGGAGCGGCCAGTGGCTTCAGGCTTCACAGTGCTTGGAAGCCGTCCATCGCCTCCGCCTGACCCCAACGGCAATCACCAAAGGAGCAGAGATCCACGTCCTGGGTTTGGGCGACAAGGGGAAGGGCCCGAGAGGTTTGGGCTGGCAAGGTTGCCTCGCTGCACTCCTCCAGCCAAACCCGTTTCTGAACCTTCATGTGCTGAATGCATCGCTCAGCAGCTGTGGACGGGCTCGTCGCTGGGAGCTCGTGCACTCATTGCTGCAGCTGATGCCCATTCTGGTTATCGTCCCAGATGCGTTGAGTGCATCAGCCGTGGTCTCTTCATGTGCTTCCTCATTCAAGTGGGAGCATGCCTTGGAACTTCGTCCAAGGGAGTCAGATTGGAAAAGCCTCGGTCTGGAGCTTTCAGCATCACGCTCCATCTTTGTCTGTTTACCACATGTAGCATGCAGGTGGATGCGATGCTTGCTGCGTCAGATGGTTTCACTGTTGCAAAGTGCACCGAGAACCGAGCAAGAGTTTGGGGCATGTTTGCTTGCGTGGGACACTTTGAAGTCGTACAATCCAGAGCTGTCTGCTGGGAATGCGTGGCGGCACAAAGAGTATTTTGACCGGCTGCACGACCGACGGATTGCTTCTCCGGCATTTACCTGTCTTGGGACCCAGTGCGGAAGGCCAAAGGCAGCTGATTCAAGCGCAGCCCTTTCGGGTCTTGCCGTCCTCGAGCGGGTTCATGACTTAGGGCCAGAACTGTCTAAGACCGCACTGGAGGTCAGCGGTGCAAGAAGCATGTATGTCCTCGTGTTGCCTGCTCGAAAAAGGATTCTTTGCGTGCTCCCAACATGGCATCTGCATCTTCGTAGAACCCGGGTGCTGTTGAACGCTTTTCTGGAATTGCCAACTTGCGAATCTTCACATTGCCCATCTGTTGCCAGCTGAGCACTTCTAGTGCCCTTGAGAGCTTTTCCCCTAGTGCGTTAGCACGCGAAGGCCAACAGCATTGTTAGATCGCGTCTCACACTTGCACGCGTATGTCTGAGTTCTTGTGGGTTTCGCAAGCCAGTAGGTCATGCCGTCCATGCCCGGGTCAGCCTGGTGGCCAACAGGCGAGGATCAGTGGATGATTAAAGATCTTGGAGGCCGCGAAAACCAGGGCCCTCAGGGCACGGCAGAGGCTTCATGGATCTTATCGGCAAGTCTGGATTCTAAGCTTGCCGAAGTGTTTCCTGCATACCGCCTAGTCGGCCTACCCTCTGCAGGACAGCAAAGTAGCGTGAGTGCCACGAAAGATACTGGGACCATCGTCAGGGAGTTTGGAGTTCGAGAAAGCACAAGTGTTGTGCCAGACACACAGACAGCGCGACCTGGAAGACGGCCGCGAAGGCTTGCTCTTCCGTGTGATGCAAAGGCACAGAATGTTGGCAGTGTTTAGCACTCCCAGTCGCGAGCATGCAGACTTTGCTTCGCATCGTCAGCGCCTGCTTTGGGTGTTTCCGGTCTTAGTGGTGGGGATGATGGTCGGACAAGCTTTGCAGATGCGACCTAGACAAGAGGCAGGAAGACATGTAGGCCATTCTTCCGACAGAGCACGGGCATCCGAGGAGTCCTCCCACGCATGAGTGGTCCCTTGTCAGTTGAGATGCCTGCTGGCGTGAAAACAGTGCGAATCCTCTGGAGAAGTGTAGCGGGTGTTCGGAAACTCTCTACTGCCTTAAGAGGCTGTGCGCTGGGGCAAACAGCGGGTTTATTCTTAAGGGCATCTGTCATTTGATGAACTCGTTTGCGCCCCCGGACCTGAAGCCTGAAGCCACAAAGTTTGTCAGGTTCTTAGTGTTGTCGGCTTTAGCTGAGCATGGCAAGTCAGCGATATGGTGCAAAGCAGCCCTCTTTATGGACGATCGGAGAAGCACTGAAGGCAGCTTGGAAGATTCCGGTTGCGATTTTCCATTTTCCACGGAGACGAAAATGGCGAACTGCGCAGGCCTTGCAAAGGTGTGGGTTCTTGCCGCTCTCTAACTCGCGGATGTCATTGAAGTGCCGCAGCTTTATGTCTCACCATGCGTGTTTTCATCACATGGTTTGCTACAAAGACTGCCACCTGGGAGAGCCACGCATGCGGGTCTTTCCAACAAATCCTTGAGAGGTGTTGAAGTTTTCGAGAATCTGAACCTGCATCGTGCAGCCTTGTAACAGTGCTTATAGCGAAAGAAGTGTGCCTGCGCTCGTTGGATCTAGCGGTAATGGAAGGCCCGTCCCCTCAAGGCGTGAGGGTGCGATTTGCAGCTGCTCTGGGTCAACTGCCGTGTTCCATAGAGTCTTCAGAAGCCAGGCATTAGAGAGCGTTCTCCTTCATGTCTTGCTCGAACGCTCTTTCCACATGCTGGGCGAGCTTTCCGAACCTTCATTGTACCTCCGTAGTCGCTGAACTCATGCCTTGACATCTTGCTTCGCGGGTGCAGAGCAGTAGGTAGATTTCGAGGCATCTGGGTCCGGTGGCGAAGCCTGTGGCAGTCCAGGATCACCAGTGGCCATCGACTTTCTGAACAATGCCGGAGCGCAGGAGGATGCTTGGAAGCCCAGACTCTCTGTGTCAACCTTGAAGCTGCCGAAACCGAGCCGACGCCGTATCTCTTCTCAATACATCAGACTTGTGTCCGGGAGGGTTTTTTAAAGGCGGAGGCTCCTGAAATCGGAGTCGAGTATCTGCAACTTCAGGAGTCGTGGCATGCTCAACCCTTTACCACCGGCAGCAGACGGCAGTTGATGCATATCTGAATGTATCTGATCTGGAAAACCCGTGGTGGACACCTTTTCCCAAAAAGGCACAGTCATGCAGCATGTGCAGATATGTAAGCTTTCATAGAACGAACCTTGGGCCAATGAGAGAGAGAGAGAGAGAGAGAGAGAGCGTGACGCCCTGAAGCTTGCAAAGCGAACACTCGCTATCAATCAACTCGAGCTATGATGACACGTACTAAGTTGATTCTATATAGTTGCCTTTTGAAACAAGACAGTTCGACAAAGCCAGACGGGCACATCGTGAGCACACGATAGGCCATGTGCAGAAAGTGCCTCGACCTTGTTTTTCTTGCCATGCACCAACAGTCAGGCTAGATGTATGAGCCGGGGGTAGGGCATGCAAAATGAAGTCGTACATTCTCCAAACCGATGCCAATGTGTTTTGACATATTCTTAGTGAGATCTGCATCGCGAATAGGGGAAATACGATATGCATGTGTCGCAGGAGGTCGATGAAACATGGTTGTTTCTATCGTACACTTGAAGGCTCTAGCCATAAACTATGTTTTTCGACCTTTCGTCACCCCTCACTCCTGCTAACACGGCGGGGGGGCAAGATGCCCGAGGGCGTTGATCGCGCCCTCAAGCCCAAGAGAGAGAGAGAGAGAGAGAGAGTCATTTTGGCTCAAGCCGTGAGCGGTTCAAGGCCCGAGCCCCGAGTGAGAAAGTCAGTGTGGGCCTCAACCGACGACTGAGGGAGCGTGCAGACAACAGGGGTTGGCACAGAGGGCTCCTTGTCTTCCTTTGTGTCCAGCCGTGCCATCGAGCTCACCGGCAAGTGTCTACGCGACCTCGAGCCGGGGGTTCTGCCGCGGGACTTCGTAAAGGACGGAGCCCGAGTACGACCGCTGCCCAGGCGTGCGGGGGCGTTTGACAACCGCTACCACATCGTGATAGCGACCCTACTCACTGCATACCTGCCGGGGGGGGAACTCCGCAAGAACCTCGGGGCGTAAAGTATACCGGGGGAGTGATCGTGATACTACGGCAGCGCCACTGTGAACGCAAACTACCATGGCCACCGGAGCAGCGCAGGGGGACGATCTGCCCATGACCGAGGTGGAAGCAGCCAGCCACGCGGCAGGGGGAGGGCCTGCTGAACCAGACGGAGGTTCCCCCCAGAAAAGAGGCCGAGTCGTGGAGCAGCCCCTTACACTGGCGATGCTCAAGGAGGTCTTGGCGCAAGAGCGCGCAATTGATCGCAACCATCTCTCTGACAGCCTGGAGCGAGTCCAGGGGGATGTGCGTGCCATGCGCGGACGAGTTGATGACGTGGAGAAGGGGGTTACAGTCCAAATGGAAAGGACAATGGTCATGCTCAACAAGGTCACAGACAACTACGACAATCAGGCAAAGGCGCTGGGGGACCTTCGCGATGCACAACAGACCTTTGAGAAACGACTGGAAGCGTTGGAGCACCGCCCTCAATGGTCTTCTGCGCGGGGGAGCACAGCGGACACCGATGGAGGGGGGAACAAGCCGCCCGCACTTATCCTCCGGGGATGGCACCCAGATCAGGCGGCCGAGGATACCCTTCAGGCTGCTAAGGATATTTTGCGTCGTCTGGACGTCCAGCTGGAAGCCGACGACCTCTTTGTCCCTGGACTGCGCAGGGGATACGCGATCCTCCCGATCAAGTCCAGACCTTTCGAATCGGAGGGGGACCGTCGCATGGGCCGACATCACTGCTTTAGCGAAGGCGATGAGGCGTCCGCTGCGGGTGGTTCAAGCCGCGTGGCCGCAAAGCGGAGCTCGCATGACCTATGGACCGCCATGGGGGACAGTTTCACCGCACAGAAAGCGGGAAGGCCTCCGATGCACTGAGAGTGGCTTCCTGGAACGTTGGGGGGCTTACGGCGCAACACGTGCTGGAGCTCACCCACACTTCGCGGGGGACCCAGACCTTGACGCTCTGCAGGTGCTGCTCCTGCAAGAAGTTATCACTGGTGTTGGCATTTCGTTTCATGAGTACAACGGTTGGGTCATTGTTTATGGCAAGAACCAAGGAGATTGGAGGGGCACGGGGGTCGCGTACTTGGGGGCCCACAACAAGCACAGCAACACAAAGCTATTGCCATCGGGCATTGCCACCACTCTTACGGGCCAAGACGGCCGGAGGGGGGTTCGTTTCCTGTCGGGGCACATACCACACCATGCTACCATTGCGCAAACAGAGAGCATCCTTGGAGCATGGAAGGGGACACTTTGCAAAGCCAGGGTGGTCTTGGGTATGGATGCCAATGAGACCTTTACAGACCCAGATGAGCAGGGATGGAGGGGGCACTCGGGCAGGGGAGAAGTGGTGCTATCTGCACTTGCATACAGCGGGCTTAGCACGCCGCCACAGGCCCTCGCTACTCACACCTACCATCCATACAACACCAGGTTCCATCCCAGCAGGTTGGACTATGTGGCCACACGGGGGCTGCGCAGCACACACGGGGGGGTTAAGGAGGGCAGCCGCCACATTGCGCGCCCACGTTGTCAGAGGGGCGCCACCACCCAAACCCCGGCCCACGTGGGGTGCGCGCAGGTACCTTCGAGGAGTGGGCCCGCAACAAGCAACTCGGGTACAGCCGACGCAGACTGACACGCACTATGCCATCGCAACCCTTGCGCAGCAGCTCACCAGGCCGGGGCGCGACACCGAACGCTATGAGGAGAGCCCAGCACTGCGCATGCTACTACGCAGACAGGCAAGGGGGGCCCCCCACACCAGGCCCGCGAAGCCTGGAAACGTGTGACTCGCCTCAGACAGCAAGAGGTCCGAGCATGGCACAAACAGCTGGTCGATAAGGCTAGCCAAGCGAACTGGCGGGCCAAGCGCACCCTAGACCAGTACCATTCCAGGGTGGGGTGGCACCACAAACTAGTGGATGCTGAGGGTGGCAAGACAAGATGGTGGCACACTTTCGGGGGATCTTTGCCAAAGCACCGGCCGAGCGCACAGCCCGCAACATTGCGGACACCAGGCGAGCCCTGACAGCGCTTTGCAAGCACACGCCTTGGCGGCCTTTCACAACGTGGGACCTCCAATTGGCCACTCGCACATGGCAGAGGGGGAAGGCGGCGGGGGCAGATGCAATTACACATGAGTTGCTATGACTTCTCATGCAGGAACCCCGGTGGGAGGGGCGCATCTTGCACATGATGAACGACTTCCTGTATAAGGGGACCATCCCCGAGGAAGTTCTGCGGGGGGTCACGGTGCTGCTGCCGAAAACCATTTCCGATCCCGAATCCTGGGGGGACACACGCCCTATCACGTTGAGCTCCTCGATTCTTAAGTGGTTTTCGCAACTACTTTTGCTCCGCATCCAAGACGGGGCACCACTTCAGTGGGGGTGCAGAGGCAAGCAAGCTCCCGAACTCCTTGTCGTTCTCAAGCGCGTCATACGACACGCAAAGGACTGGGGGATTCTTACATGGATTGTGAAGCTGGACGTCAGAAAGGCTTTTGATAGCGTTTGGCAGGAATCCATGGGGGATATGGTTGCGTCCAAGGTAGGGGGGTTGCGCGCATCTGGGGGGGGGGCAGTGCCGATGGGATGCCATGGGAGGCTAAAGCGTGGCTTGGCCTTCTTGAAGCCAGAGAAGTTCGGGTTGCTATGGCCGACACGCTTACGCACATTCCCCAGACCAACGGGGTCCGACAGGGCTCTCCTGACAGTCCTGTGCTCTTTGGGAGAGTGGTTGCTGACGACCTCGAGGGGGCACTCCAAACAACCCAGCGGTTGCTGCCGCTAGCGGAGGGACCACCGCCACCACAATCAGGGGGGGCATACATGGATGACACCTACCTATGGAGTCATGACCGAACCCACCTGCAAGCGTCTCTTGCCGAATTGGAGCGACAGCTCCGCAAGCACGGCCTGACCATCAACCCGGCCAAAACGGCTATCATATTCAGCTTGAAAAGCGGCGGGGGAAGCTTCTTCATCGGGGGGGAGGAGGTGGCCTGCAAACCCTTTGGCACGGTGGTCACAGCATTGGAGGGGATAGGGGTTAAAAAAGAATTTAAATAAGGATCAAAAAAAATTAAATAAGGATCAAAAAAAACTTAAATAAGGATCAAAAAAAAACTAAACGGGTATCCGCGACAGGAAGGGGAAAAAGGAAGGAAAGAAAGACAGAGAGAGAGAGAGAAGGAAAGAAAGAAAGAAAGAAAGAAAGGAAGGAAGAAAGAAAGCAAGGAAGAAAGAAAGAAAGAACGAAAGAAAGAACGAAATAAAGAAATAAAGAAACAACGAAAGAAATAAAGAAAGAAAGAAAGAAAGAAAGCCATGCAAGAAATAGAGAAATAAGTAAATAAAGAACGCTAGAAGTAAAGAAAGAAAACAAAATAGATAACTAAGTAAATAAAGAAAGCTATAAGGAAAGAAAAAGAACACACAAGGAAAGAACCAAAGAGAGTTAGAAACAAAAACAAAACAAGCAATGAAGAAATAACCAAAGAACAAAAACAGAGAAATAAAGAAAGACGGAAGGCCATAAATTAATAAAGAAAAACAGACATAGTTAAAGGAACAAGAAAGACGCTGAAAATAAAGAAGAACGATACGTAAGACTATCGCTTCAAAGAAATAAACAAAGAAAGAGAGCCATGCAATAAATAGAGAAATAAGTAAATAAAGAAAGCTATAAGTAAAGAAAGAAAACAAAAATATAGAACTAAGTAAATAAAGAAAGCTATAAAAACTACAACATACTACACCTACAACCACAACGCCAACAACAACACTACTAGCAACAACTACACCACGAAATCCGTCCTAAATGCGAAATTGTAAGGAAAATTTGATTTTCCCGAGGAATAAGCTAGGTAACGTATGTTTTCCTTCGGAAAACCTGAAGAAATGACACGAACGCCGTAGGTAATAGGAAATAGGCTTTTTCCTAGGAAAAACCAAGGAAAACTTAGAGAAATACAACGGAATCCGTAGGAAAATCGTGTTTTCCACAGGAAAAACCAAGCAAATCCTTAGGAAACGAAAGAAAATCCCTAGGAAAGCAGTGTTATCCCTTGGAAAAATTCAAGAATTGTTGTATCTAAAAAGCAAGAAAGAAAGACAGAAAGAAAGAAAGAAAGAACGAGGGAGAGAACGAAAGAACGAAAGCAAAAACAAGAGGAAGAACGAAAGCAAGAACTAAAGAAAGAAACTTAAGGAAATACCACGGAATCCGTAGGAAAATCGTGTTTTCCCGAGCAAAAACCAAGCAAATCCGCAGGAAATGAAAACGAATCCGTATGAACACAGTGTTTCCCCTGGGAAAAATACAAAAATTGCTGTATCTAAAGAGGACGAAAGAAAGGAAAACAGAAAGAAAGAAAGATAGAACCAGAGAGACAACGAAAGAACGAAAGAAAGAACGAAAGAAAGAACGAAACCAAGAACGAACGAAAGAACGAACCAAAGAAAGAACGAAATAAATCAAACCAGAAAGAAAGCAAGAAAGAAAGGAAGGGAGTATGAGATGAACAAAGAAAGAACAACAGAAAGAAAGAAAAGAAATGAACGAGCGAAAGAAAGAAAGAAGTCCAGAATAAAAAAGCAAATTTGGAAAAGACGAAAGAGAAATAATATGAAATAATCACAGAAACAAAGATACAAGCAACAGGATACTACATAATCCAATCGAATTTACCATAATATCGTAATGTACCGTAACATAATATAACATAATGTAACCTAATGTTATAAAATATACTACATATTATGTTGTAAATATGCAGACTGTATTGTACTATGTTACAATGTACTACACTATAAACTAAGATGTTGTTTTGTTCTATGTCATCTTCTGTTATATTGCATTGTTGTATTTTTAGTATGCTATTATATGCTATAAGAAGCAAGGTTCTGTTATGTCAGAAAATGTCACACCATTTTTTGTGTTGTCGAACCATCTTATGTCGTTCTTCTGGTTTACTATGTTATATATATTGGGTTAGAATGCTAACGGAAGAAGAGACACGAACAGGCACGGAAGAACAAAACACCCGCCGCCGCGCTTTTCGAGACGTGCAAGCTTGATTCAAAGAGTGTTCTCGAAGCCCATCATGTGAACGTTGTCTCTGCAAATGGGGGGGGCTGCGCCCCCCCCCCAACCCCCCCCGCTGTTTTAAGCCGTGCAGGGTTGCTTTGAAGCATATGCCTTTTTTTGAAACCCAGCAAATGAGGGCGTCTCCGCCCTTGTAGATACATGCTGAACCAGAATCGCCAAATGAGGGGCGTGTTTAAGATAGATGATGAAGCGGAATACCAGCAACATCTACAACAGGAAATCCGTCCTAAATGTGAAATTGTAAGGACAATTTGATTTTCCCGAGGAACAACCATATGTTGTCCTTCTGAAAACCTGAAGAAATGAACCGAACGCCATAGGTAATAGGAAAATAAGCTTTTTCCTACGAAAAATCAAGGAAAACTGAGGGAAATACAACGGAATCCGCAGGAATATCGTGTTTTCCAGAGGAAAAACCAAACAGATCCTAAGGAAACAAAAGAAAATCCCTAGGAAAACAGTGTTTTCCCTTGGAAAAATTCAGGAATTGCTGTATTTTAAGTGATTTAAATTTTGTTGATCCTTATTTTAATTTTTTTTGATGCCTCTGCCCCAGGAATTGCTGTATTTTGAGTGATTTAATTTTTTTTGATCCTTATTTTATTTTTTTTTGATCTTTCCATTTAATTTTTTTTGATCCTTATTTAATTTTTTTGATCCCTCACCCCATTGGAGCTCCCATCACGTTCGGGGAAGAAGTTGCGGCCGCAGTATCGGAGATGCAGCATCGTGCCAGGCGCGCCTTTCACAAGCATGCCAAGCTGCTTTGCGCACCGACCTCGCTGGACAGCAGGATCAAGCTTCACCAGACATTGGTTCGGGGGGCAGCCACATGGGGGTGCGAAGCTTGGCCAGTTACAGATGTGCTGCTACGGGCGTCCAACAGCGTTCAGTTGGGACAGGTGAGGAGAATGATGCACCCAGGGCGGAGACCGGGGGAGTCCTGGTGGGAGGAGTGGAATGTGCGCACGCTCCGGGGGGCAAGGGGTGGCACTACACAAGTCACAAGTGCTACGCTGGAGCACGTTCGTCCTAGAGCGAGTGTGGGACATTTGGGGCCACATGGCCCGAGCTGAACTGGGGGGAAGGCCCATGCTTACGTGGAAGAATTTAGAGTGGTGGGGAGCAGAGGTGCGCAAATCCAAACGAGAGAGGCAATACTGGCACAAAGGCCGGTTCAATGCCCATGTGGACCCAGAGCGGCAGATCGCCAAAGTGGCGGGGGAGACTTGGCAAAGGGTTGCGGGGGACTTCAAGGTGTGGAGTTCGCTGTCAGGGGAGTTTATCGCAGCCTTTGACGTGCCCTGGACTTCGGGGCAACAGAGCAGCCTTACTAACCTCACACCCAACACCAGAGGGGGAAGCAGAAGGCAGCAGCTGACGAATGAGACAGACTAGTCGACAGCACAGCGCATGCCACGCAACCACCAGCTGGAGAACAGGGGAGAGAGCACATTCATATTGCAGTTGCTGTTGCGCAGCCGTTTGCTTGTCGCATGCAGCTGCCAAGCATGTCTGAGCGCACACTTGCCTGCAGCGTTCAGTGCTTTGAAGTTCCACGACGCACGAACCCGAGCTGCAAACATGCAGCTCACACACTTGTACGTACTTGTTTTCCTCCTCTTCTGGCACGGCCGAGGGCCTGTTAAGCCCAGGGGGGCCGCCACCACGGCACACGGCGCCACGACAGCGCCAAGCACCACGGACAGAGGCACAAACCCGTGGGAACAAACAGCACCGTGGACGGAACAAACGAGCCCCACCCACGCAGCAGCGACGGCAACACCGACCACCCAGCCGTCGAGACAGCAGCCATCCAGTGGCCAGGGCCAACAACACAGCCGGCGCAAGCAACAACGGCCACCCAGTGAGCCCCAGCGACGGCCCACCCCTCATATGCCACCGTCCCGGCACCACGGCCCGTGCCTCCACGTCCGAACGCACCGGTCGCTCTCCCGGCAATGATCGGGGACTGGAGGCAACGACTTTGAGCTACACCAGAGGGCTGCAGCCGGGCAGAACGCCAACCGAACCCTGGGGATATCTGGGGATGTGGTCCGCCGTACGAGCCCGACACAGATCCATGGGCGGTCGCCTCTACGGACGAAGAGCAGGGGGGCTTCCACCACAGACCAGGCGGCAGCCGTCGGGACATCAAGCAGCAGTGTACGACCCTGACAAGTTTTTTGTGGGACACGGAAGCGGACTCAGCAACCACCGCTCTCGCAGACAGGAGGGCGGCAGCAGCAACCACGGCGACTCCACCCGAAGGCAGGGGGCGCACTACAATACAGCATGCTTCCATCGCAGAACCAATGGGGGTACACCCTCACGTACATACCACCACTGCCACCAGCCAAGGCACGGCTACCAGTACCGTGTGCCGACGGACCACGGACAGCAAGCAGCACAACCCACACCCTCGCCAACGCACGAGCCCACGGCTCCACAAGCACCAGCAGCCACAGCACACCAAGGAGGCGCCCAAACTCACCAGGCAGCCTCAACCGACACAAGCGTACCAACAGTGCCTCCCAGTGTCACCACCACGCCGGCTTCACAACCACCGCAGCCCGCCCGCAAGCGGGGATAGCAGCAGCGGAAATGGTGGAGATTGCCATTGCAGCCGTGGGGGAGGAACCAACGCCTACAGGGGGCGGCGACTCAACCCACGAATGCATCCGGGCGCCCCCGCCACCAAAACGAAGACGCTTGGACTATGCGGGGGTGGCAAAAATGCGCCTTCAAGAAAAAGGGGCAGCAGATAGGGGAGCTGATGGCCCGAACCAGCAGCAGATTATGTCCGACCTCATTGAAGCCCGTAAAGACTTGGTGTTCGTGAGGGCCCAGCTGGAAGATGCAACGGCGCAGCAGGGGGGGACGCAGGTCTTGGACAGCTTTGAAGGCCTAACGCAAGCAACGGACGCCATCAACATCGCCTTGGCCGCACAGGGGGACTTTGATTGGCAGTCCGACAGCTGGGCGGCCACAGTCAGCTTGCTGCTGGAAGGGGCCGACACCTTGCTGGAAGAGCTGGACCTTCTGAACTTTGCGCACGCCTCGGATGTGAACGCCTTTGCGGAGGGGGCGGAGGAAAGACCGACGCCACGAGCAGGCACAGTGCTGAGGGACATCAGGGGGGTGCTTCCATTCCACACAAGGGGGCAACCTGAAGTCCGAGCCATGTTGGCGTATGTGGCGGCGACCTTCGAGCAGATCGTCTACATGGACACGCAGTCGACTGAAGCCGGGGGGACCAGCCTGGAGCCGAGCAGCCGCCGATGAACGCGACAGCGACATGGCAGCCGCTGCTGGGGACAGCCCAATGGTCCGGCAGCATCCCCACGTCCGGGGGAGAGGAGGACAGAGACGGACCTACGCCGCCAGATGAGCTGGAGGGGGAGCCAACAGATGCCGACCTTCTCGCAGCCATGGACGAAGGCGAGAGACAAGCGGAAGAAGAAGCGCGGGCAGAAATCTCGCAGTGCTTGGGACACGGGGGGACGCTCTTGGACACCAACGACGAGTCCGAACCAGACGTCCCGGAACCACGACTGAGCCGGGGGTCCAGCCACCGTAGGAGAAGAATGCATGCGGCGGTGTATGACGATGATGGCAACTTTTGGCATCCAGACGAGACGTGATCTATGGGGGTTTAGGGAGGGGAGCCATCATGACACAACAGCCCGGTATGCCGTATGAACAGAACCTTCCTTGTCTTAGTCTTGTGTGCAGGTGCTTCAGCCAGGGGTACCGAAGCTGTTGTTAGAAGTACAGTCCCCAGAGCCAATCCTACTGTGATGTGACTAGTACTGTTATGTGCCGGGGCCTCAGTGCTGAGTTCTGCGTGCAGTTATGTTGTAGGCTCTGCACGGGGGGACAAGTAGCTCCCAGACCACACGCCCGCAACGGAGGCAACAGAGCTTCCCGGTGCTTTTGGGGCGGTAGTACAGTGCTGGACGGAACCCTGGGGACGAGGCGCGAGGCCGGGGCTTGCCTTTCCTGCCAGGGCCTTCCTTGCGCCATCACCGAGGACGGGGGATCCGGCAAGCGTGCGCACCTCCTCGCGCGGGTTCTGAAGGGGGACATAGTCGGGAGTGCTCCAGTACGGTGTCGGCGGCCTACAGCCTGCACTTTCAAGAGACTGACACCCGCTACGCTACTTGACCGCATTCGGTGAGCCTACAGGCCTTCGCCGACCTCACCTCGATCCGCCGGTTCGTCTACCTCGATCGGGGGACTACCTCCACTACCTGTTATCCTTATGGCTGATGCTATGGCCACTGACCCAACCACCCCACCGGCGCAGAAGAAGCGGGGAGCCCCGGAAGAGGAGAAGCTCAGTCTTGAATCTTGAAGCCATCCGAGAATTAGTGCGCGGTGAGGTGACTGGCAGCACCAGCACACTGCGAGCGGAAATCAACCAACGCATGGACCGAGTGGAGACGGGGGTGATCACCAACCAACAAACCATCCAGGGGACCAGTACTCGATGAATGCTCGCCTGCAAGCCCTCCATCCAAAGCACGGGGGCGTCAAGTACTGCAGACACAGACTTCGGGGGCGCAAGCCAGCACTGAGTAGAGGAGGTTGGGGGGATCAATGACACCCCAGCGGAGGAGACCCTCAAGAACGTCAAACAAATGGTCAAAGAATTGAGACTGGACACCTGCGCACTGCACGGAGCAAGCCTTTGTTCCTGGAGTACGACGGGGATACGCCATTGTACCCTACAGCGCAAAAGACGGGGAAGATCAACAGCAGCTGCGAAACATGCTGTCCGCAGCCTTGCGCTGCGTGCGCCAGGCCAACATCCAGATGGGTTGCAAGAAGACGGCAAGGCGAAGTACCTGTGGCTTCAACTGTCGCAGTCGCCAGAGCGAAGGCGACGAGTACGGCTAACAGGTAAGTGCAAACGCCTATGCCTGTCGATGGGGGCGCAGCTGGCCAAAGCTGAGACGGGGTGGGCGCCTGGGACGGTTTGGCTGGACTCCGTTGGTGTCGCCTCGGCAACCACCACAGGTGCCGGATGGATCAACCTCAAGGCCACAGGCTCGACCAGCCCAGCGCGGACATCGAGGAGGAATGGGGGGGGCTGAAGACGGCCCTTCGCTGAGGTACGGAACCTACGCAAAGCAGCGGCGAGCAGGGGGACCAATCGTCTTCCGAGACTCAGTTTCACCATGCAGCCTGGAAGGGGGCGAAGCGGCGCACACTGGTCGTCGCCACTTGGAACGTCGGCGGCCTCTCTGCGGCTCATGCACTTGAGTTGCTGCAGACGTTTGCGGGGGAACAAAGTGCTCTCCTCAGTTTCAGTTGTGTTGTTTCAGGAACGTATCACGGAGGCAGGTCGGCATTTTGCCAACAACAAGGCATGGACGCTGGTACATGGGAAAGTGCTCGGGGAGTGGCGGGGGCAGGGGGTGGCCTTTCTTTCGGCGCTGGGGAGGCATAGCAGGTTGGGCGGGGGGTCGCCGCAGTCCTTTCTCATTTCTCACGGCCACGGGGCAAAGTGGGGGCTTCTCAGCATGCCACCATTGCTAAAGCTGAAACCCTCATGGCACAGTGGGGAGCCTGCCACGCATTAGCAGCCAAACGGGCGGTGCTGGGGATGGATGCCAACGAGACCTTCAAGCCAACGCCGCGCGCACAGCAACAGCAGGAGCAAGCACAAGCCAGATCAGGCAGGGGGAAAGCGTACTGGCGCCTGGATCCAACGAGCAAACATCAGGCTACCGCCACAAGACCTGTCTGCAGCCTCGCATTTCCCTTACGAGACTGGACTATGTGGGGATTAAAGGGTTTTTTTCCGTCAGCGGGGAGGTAGCACAAGCACGCGTCATGGCCAGGTCAGACCACGAGCATGTGCTCTTACAGCTCCGCCAAGAGCCTCCCAAACCTACCAAACCCAGCGCACCCTGCGGTCCAAGACATGTCCACATCACCAAGCCAGAGCGCCTGCAAGCTCTCCTCGATGAGCAAGCCGCGCAGACCGGGGGACCGGCGCACACAACTTGCCCTGATCAGCAGCACCATCACCAAGCCGGCGCGCAAGGAGCACGCGAAGTTCCTGGAGAGCAGATCCAAATTGACAAGCAGCCCACGCCACGAAGCACGGCGCCAGGCCTGGAAAAACGTGCAAAAGCAGATGCATCGTGAACACAAGCAGTGGAAGCAAGCCATCGAACACAAAGCCAGTCAACACGACTCGTACAGGCAGCACAAAAGGGGGGTAGGGGGGGACACATGGATGGCCACCCTTATACGGACGACTTGGCAGGGGGAACTGCTTGCTCCCTTCCAGGGCATCTTCAACAAGGACAGCAGCCAAGCACGAGATGCAGACTTCACAGCAAGGCGTGGACGCCTAAGGCGACGGTGCAAACACGTCCGGTGGCAACCTTTAAAGCAGAAGAGGTGGGGGGAGTTGCGACCCGCTGGAAAAATAACCAGATAGGGGCCACGAGCCCGAATGCAGACACGCGCAACGCAGATATCGCATCCTGAGAAAAACAAACATCATGACAAAACATCATGACAAACATGACCTTGTATCATCAGCCATGCCGGCGATGCAGTACGGGATCCATGTAATGTTTACTTTTCGTGCAATCGTTGTGATAGGATTCTCGTGCTGCCCTGATTCCTTCTCCGGGTATTTTCTTTAGGGGATGCGATATCTGCCGTCGGGACGCGCGTTCGGCGGAGTTCCCCATTCGGAATGCCTTCGAGACGCTGCCGGAACACGCCTCCCGTGGAGTTCCCCCTTAGCTTGACAGAACTCGGGCGACACGCGCCTTCTGTGGAGTTACCCATTAACAGCCTGTGGAATTCCCCCTTAGCTTGACGGATTCGGGACGCGCGTTCTGTGGAGTTCCCCATTAACAGCGCGAGCGTCCTGTGGAGTTCCCCCTTAGCTTGACGGATGCAGAACGCCGTCGGGACGCGCGACACGCTGCAACACCACGCCTCCTGTGGAGGTCCCCCTTAGCTTGACTGTGCGACACGCCTCGCGTCCTTTGGGGTTACCCCTTAGCTTGACGGATTCAGAACACCGTCGGGACGCTGCCGGAACACCTCCTGTGGAGTTCACCCGTAGCTTGCTGTGGAGTTCCCCATTAACAGCGTGAGCGTCCTGTGGAGTTCCCCATTAGCTTGACGGATTCAAAACGCCGTCGGGACGCTGGACGCTGCCGGACCGCGCCTCCTGTGGAGTTAACCCTTAGCTTGACGGATGCAGAACGCTGTCAGGACGCGCGACACGCTGCCACACCACGCCTCTTGTGGAGTTCCCCTTATATCCACACACTCGTTTTGAGGGTTGGATCCTTGGGGGCTGGATCAGGGGGGTTTGAAGGCCAAAACCAATTTCCTCAATAGTGCAGTTCAATATACCGATTTAAGGTTTCAAGCTGTTGTAGTATTAGCTTATTTATGTATTTTATTAGGAATTTCAGTGCCGGGGGCACGGCCGTTGACCAAAACATTTTAAAGCACACTGGGAAGCCAGCGTGAGGAAACCCTTTTTTGCCAAACATTTTTGCATTTGTCCAAGCCGGATGTATTGAGCGATGGTGTTCGCTTCTGTCCAAGCCGGATGTGTTGGAAGCTGAAACGTGGTCCTTTGTCACGTGCCACTGCTTGGTTGGCTTGGTTGCTTGGTTGGCTTGCTTGGCTTGCTTGGCTTGCTTGGCTTGGTTCGACTCGCCCTACCCATCCTGCACGCCCAAGCTCAGAGTGGTCTTAGAGACCGCTCCAGTCGGGCTCGGACCACGTGAGCAATGGGTCCTTGATCCGTGCGGGACAGCGTCGCTGGCCGGGCGCTGGGGATTTACTCTGTGTGCTGCTCGCCTGTCCAGCCAGGTGGTGTGTCCGCCGCGGGGTGAAATGCACACAGATTGCAGGGAAGGCCTCGCTACTATTAATAAATACTATGCCACGTACCCACACCACGGTCGAAATATTAACTTCGATCACTGCTGCTTGCCGGCATGGCCCCGCATGGCATCTTATGCTGTGCCTCATTGACAGGTCTTCAGTAACCGGCGCGTTGCGCAGCGATTCCGGTGCACTCGATGACGAGCATGACCTGTCCTCTTGCGGGCCGGTATGCAAGGCAATCGGATTTCAGCGCTCCGCATAGGGCAAAGACGGCGCATACTCAGCAGGGTGACCCCATCTTGGCCGAATGGGGGTGGCATTTAAAGAAGTCTCCAGTCCGCATGACTGTCAGAGCACACTCGTGTTTGCAAAGACGCTGGGGAGGCCGTTACTGTGTCGGCATG